AAGATTAGTATACAACCAATGCCAAAAAAAGCAAGTTTCAACTAGGCTTCAAAATGAATACTGTCTTCTGAATGAATTTCAATGATTTTCGGACTATATTCTATACGTTATAGACTGTATTAATAGCTTTATAATACGGCTATTGAACTGAGTAATTCAAGTTCTATAAATTGCTGTTACTGACCGGCCATCAATTCATGTTTATACATATATATGGTATACACTTAATGCTATTGTCAGTAACAACACAATATTTTGACTTAATTTTTAAATTATAAGACTTTTATAAAAATTTTTACTTATCATCTACCATAAAATTGTACTATACAAACTATCTGTACTGAGACAATGCACTGAAATGTGAAATTAATTAGAAAATGTACTATAGAAATCTATACGATTTCTATAGTATAGTATAGAAATAGTATAAAAATGTTGTATAGTTACAGTCGTGATATTATTGTATATGTCATCATATTTTCCTTTTATTACTTTAAAATTCAGTAAAAAAAAAATTAAATCAAAAGCATTTTACTTCCGATAATTCTTAGAATATTTGTGTTATTGCCAAATACATTTTCACATATGTTTGATTATTTAATTTTTATAAAAATTACAATATAAGATATGTGAACAAACACGAAAAGTGTCAAGGTTGGGACCTATTGTCTAGTATGTACAATAAAATCTCTCAATATTTGTGTAAAACCTTTAAAAAATTATTTTTATTTATTTTATTTTTGAATTTTTGGTTATTTCATGCAATAAATGCTCTCATCTTTTGTGACAACTAATCGCACTTTGGATGAATATAAACCTACGAACTCTTTATTCAATCACGATTAAAAAACTTCCTTAAGCACATCACCTCTCTACTATATTTTAGCGTAAATATTGACTCACAAAATGCCACATACGAAAAAATTCTCAAGTGCAAAACCTTATCCCTCAATCATTGTTGAAACTTTCACTTTCTCTAACCGAAGTTTATTAATATTAACAGCTTCGAAATACTCTTCAAAATTGCTTTGCTGTAGACATTCGCCTTAACCTAAACGTCACGATCCAAATACATCAATGGAGAGCGACCATCTACAGTCACGAACGATTGGCACCCAAAACATTGATAACGATAGTTTTTGACTTTTTGGATCTATTCAAATCTTTAAAGTTTCCTATGATACAAATCCTCACAAACGGTTATTATTAACTAAAAAGAGAATCGAGAAGAGGATATTTTACAATTGACTTTTTTCATAAATATGGATATGAAATTATCTCAAAAATCGCAGGGCACGAGTTCGATCCCTTATACTTACAGTTTACGAATAATTAAATACAAGAAATAATGTCAAGACTACTGATGATAGGTATTTGGCAAAAACGAAAATTCAATTAAGTAAAATAGTATAAAAATTAATTTTTGTTGTCGTTCACTACTTTTTGAGAACTCTCTATCAAAAATATGGATGAAACCTTATACTTTTGGGAACTTATAAAGCTTTACTTATTTTTAAATATACGTTACATGATTTTTTTAATATGTTCACCTAACCTGTAACTTAACCTACTACCTTGAGGAGCCATTGATGCAGTTTATTTTTAAAATACTACTATAGTGTTTTTCTATATTGTCGGTTTCTTTTTAACAAAAGCTCTAACAATAACCGCTTGTGAGTTTCCTGCCAATTAAAATGCTATCCCACTATTACGTTTGAGTTCCATCACTGACAAAGCTTACATAGGTCCCTAAAATCAGTAAATTAAAGTACAAATTATTGTAACAATCACATTTAGGCACCTTTGACTTCTGGTCTTTCCCCACACCACAAAAATCTATTTCGTAGAAAAGCAGTTTTATAAAACCAAGAGGTAATAACTGTCTTAGAGAAGTAGAATCATAGGACCATAAGATCCGACTAATAAAATAAGTGTAGTCAAGTTGAGTAAGAAAACACTGCCGAATGACATCTGTTTTTAAAACAAAAAATTCATTTTATGCTTTTCAAACCGGAACCTTATTGGATGATCTATATATTATAAGATCTTATATTAACCAAACAACTCTGTTATGTTTCAACAAATTTATTTAACTATTTCTCAAAGGCAATGTAAAACAATATTAATAATTTATTGTACATTAAAATCCAAATAAAAAACTTCTCCCGTTGTGACTCATTATAAATTTATATACTCGTATCTGGCTATCTATAATTATTAAGAGGTGGTATGTGGACGAGTAAAAAGTAACGAGTAAAAAATCTGTATTTTCCTCATACTTGTTTACTTCAAAACAAAACGCGAATATAAAACATTTTTTTAGTAATAATAATTTTTTATCTAATAATTATAAATCATTAGAAATGGAAAAAATTAAATAAATTTATGAAAAATGAATTTAAATTTAAAATTTTTTTTTTTTAATAAACGAAGAAAATATTTAATTAAATAAATAAACTTGCTAAAAATAACAAATAAAAATTTAATTAACCCATTAAAACAACAAACATAGCAAATCTTTTAAGCTGCATTCTGTCGTAAATTAGAAAAGTTAATTTTTTCGGTGATGTTCTGTGAAAACAATGTACGTATATTTTTCGTGCAATGAAGCCCTAGTCGAAGATATATAAAATTTGGTAAATTGTGATCTTGAAAAATTTTAAATTATATTATTTACGGCATAAAAAACTAAATTTCGAACTCAATCTGTTAAGTTTTTCGAAAAATAATTTTAATTTTGTTTCGTAAAAATGAAAGACGTTGATTTCTTATAACGTATAAATATTTTATTTAATTATACTATATATGCTGCATCCGACTTTCCGTCTTTCTGACTGTAGCATGATATCGGGGTATTAACATAACTGATATATACTGAAAAAAAATATTTGAAGTATAAGTTTTGCAATCGAAAAAATTTTCAGGAACTCCAAAAAACGTATAACCCAGATCTATCAAGAAATTCTTAAAACTTTTGGCATTATTTTAGTAGAACACTATAACTTTTCTATTGAATAAATTTGAATAATAAGTTTAAATACATGATCATGATATTTTCTGCTAAAATCTAGGAAAATATCCATGCATTCCCACCAATTAGGTAAAGTATATATTTTATTGAAGTGTTAATACTTTAGTATATATTTTTTTGAATGAAATTTTGTAAAAAGAATTTATAAAAAAAATGTAAAAAAATTTTATTCATATCGGTTCAATCTTAAATATAACTACCGCATGAACCTTCCGATTCAAACCCAGGTTTTGACAAAAACTTTTATTTTTTAATAAATGTATGTACTTCACATCAAATGGAATTTAACAAAATTTATAGAATGCAACCCGTATAATAAAAATGGGTTTGATCGGATTAGATATAGATATAGCTCGCATATAAACAGGTGGTTTGCAGTTTTTTTAGTTTTTTAGTTTTTATATATATATGTATTATTTATTCAACATGTATGGTTTTTTTTGGGCATATATTTATTTTGTATTGGGGTAAGTTATCCATCATAAATTTGTGTACGGTTAAGTATTTATATCTATGTTTCAGTGACCGTCATCACTGTGTCCGTTTGTTGCTATTTAGCGACATTCTGGAGGCTTGGTTGGATAACCTACTTGTTGGGTTATGTAAGCAAGGTAATGACAAATTTCCAATCGTATAAAGATGATTGGAGGTTTGAGCATTGATAATAATACAAAAATCATTTTTTCCTTAAATTCACTAATTTTTCAATTAATTCGTTTCTAATTTAGGTTTAAGTAATAAAAGAAAATAATTGCTCTAAAAATATTATCGATCCATTTAGGTTTCGATATAGTTATATTACAAAATGATACTTCAGATTCGTCTAAAGTTCTGTTATTATTATTACCATCCGCACCAAAAGCTGCTCCAACTTTAATAGGTAACAAAATATCAATATGAATATAAAGTTTATAACGAGTCTTATTAGTTTTATTATATATTGTATTGTATATATAATAACATATATGTTATAAGCATGTTATAGTGCATATATATTTTTATATATACTTATGTATTATATGTATATATTTTTTTTTATTATATATATATTACATATTATATTATATTATATTTATTATTATATAAATGAGACCTCAAAATTCTATGTAAAGAGAGCGTGGGCATCTGAGCTTCGCCAAAGTAAGAACTAACATCTCTACTAGTTTACATTTCTGAAACAATAGATTTCTATTTACCAACAATAGATGAGGTAAAGCGAAATTACAGATCGTTCTAATAGTGTTTCTCAAACTAGGAATTACGTTACCATAGCTGTGTAAGAAGGATTAATTAAAAAAAACCCTTATCTTTTTGATCTTAGCTGGTATGCCTTCCTTTGATTTAATTTCCTTATGTGAAACAATAAACTAAAGCTTAATGATACAATAATCAACAAAAATCTCAGAAATCTAATGGATTGTAAATTTTTCTTCCAATGGGCAATTAAAAAAATTATTATCTTTCAGCAATACAAAGCGTTTCGCTGAAGTAATGGGTATTTATTGATATTATGTTTCTCACGGTCTTAAGATTTTTATATGCAGCAATAATAAACAAAATCCGCATGAACTCATTTACATATAACAATTTTTTTCATGAATCATATATTTTTATTTTGTTTGTAATAATAACAAATAATAAATTGATTTTTTTATTTAAATTTATTTATTTTATAAGAACATATAAACTTAATCCAATAAAAATCAGTAATAAAATCTTCTCGAAGCAGTTCAAAAGCAAATTTACTTCGCTTCAATCAACGTAAATAATTTTATTGAACATAAACGTAATTTTATTTTTAAAAATTCACATTAAACTGAAATTAAATGATAATTATAATTTTGTTCTTATTTTATTTATAGTAAAATATATTTCATTCAATATTTTATGTATCGTTCGTCCCTCTTGTTTTTCATTTTGGCACACATTACCAAAATCTTACTTCATATTTCTTTCTTTAACATTTTAGATACATAATCGAGGAGAACATCAACAACAACACTGATATATCATTCTTTGCGGTATTTGACGGCCATGGTGGCGAGTTTGCCGCTGATTACGCTAAAGATATTTTGGTAAAGAATATTTATAAGAAAGTCATTGAAGCTGCTAAACTGCTCTCCAATCCACAAAAACCACAACATTTGTCAACTGGAAACGGTGGATCTGGTGATGATGATGGAAAATACGATGCGAGTCCATTTTTAAAACGCAAAGCAGTCAAAGATGAAACCAATAAAGAGAATGACACAAACTCTGTACGACGCCGTGACAGTCTACGTAAATCTCACAGGTAAATTTTTTATTTTAATATATTTTAAATTGTATAGAGTATTTTACTAGATAGATTGACCAAAAACGCGGTCAAAGTGATAAAAAACTCAATTTTTTTGGAAAATTATAATTTATGATTCAATATAGTCCCCTTTTAGCTTGACACACCGAGTCCAATGATCTTTCAACACTTGAATACCTTTTAAATAATATGATTAATTATGTCCTCCAAAATATATCTCAGTTTCCATTTTTACTTGATAAGAGTTTTTATCAAACAATGGCGTTATAAATACCATAGAAGAATAGCTTGATTGGTTGGTTGCAGTGATAGACCATTAAATAACTTTCATGTACCTCAATTAGCGATGTTTCGCCATTTTGCTACCACATTCCTCGCAAGAACCCCTAATATAAAAGAGTAGAAACTAAATCCACACCGTCGAATTTTGATAAACTGTCAAAGAAATAACTTCCTAAAAACGTATTTCTTCTGGACGCCAAAACTGGGCATTCACAGAGAAAATCTATTATTCCGTAGAGATATAGGCAAATTAAGTTATTAATAACTTAAAGAATCATTACAATAAAGGTATTGATGAACGCGAATATCATGTTTCCACTTGTCTGAATTTCGCAGTTTTGCTCATTAACGTCGCTAAGAAAGAAAATAATTTACCATATAAGAAGTTTTCATATAAATGAGCTCATTATAAATAAATCAACTGATTTTAAGCGAAAAATATCGAATACAACCCTTAACAATAAATGTCCCATACGGGAAATTACTAAAATTTGACATATTTATCATAATGAAATATAAATAAATAAACTACTTGATATGCATAAATCAGCTTAGGTTAATGGAAACGTCCAAATATTAGTTTCATTAACATAACTGGTTTTAGCTGCAGTGAAAACATGATATAAACTATCAAGATGGAAAGCAGCAAAAAATGAAGGCAGGTTCAGGAGACTCCTTGAAACAGATAAGGGCCAATTCGAGCTATTATAAGCATTGGTGATGATTTTATTGGTGAGAAATTTATTATTATAATGAAAAATATAGCAAAATCCTTAATAAAAAATGTTAGTAAATAATTTTGAGAAATCAAAATTTTGAGAAAATGCTCAATTCCAAATTAATAAAAATAATCCATTAACGTTATATATTGTGAACGGACATTTAAAAAAAAAATAATATTTTTTGCTTTCAAGATTTGTTTACATTTTATATAAATAAATTCTTTTAGATAAATTGACAAACAATTTTTCAGATTTTTGTTGTGCATTTGTATCTGAAAAATAAAAAGAGAAAGAAATGAAGAATTAATAATCTTGACCGAAATGTTTCAATTGTTAAATAGTCGTATATGCGTTTCAAAACTAAAATTAAATGCTTTTATTTTATTTTTATTTTTATTTTTATTTTGGTTTTAAGATTTTTATTACTTGTTTTTCTTGAGGAATTGTCAGCGAAACAACTGTTTGCGCCTTACTTTCAAGTACAAATGTTGACGCATTTTCAATTGTTTTCATTTCTATTTCAGTTGCGAATAAAAGATACTTGTCTTCTATTATTTGTGGATGTGCCTTTGCGTTATTTTGAATGTTGTGAATTTTAATTTTATTTTATTTAAATTTATATTTTATTGCGTTTAATTTGTCTTGATTTCAAAGTATGAGACTATCTTCCCACATGGGACCAGTTGTTCCAAATGCGAATACATACGGTCTATAAATCAAACATTTTAGAGCATAATTTGTTGATCTCCAGATGTCATTATGTGTGATGTTATTCGAGTAATGGACATGAATTACAAACGAAACGTGTTCTGTAAGATTTGTCTGCATAATGACAATAAAAATAAAACCAAAGGATCTCTAACAGAAACTTGATAGTAACTTTGAAACAATATTTACCTTTAATACAATAGATTGTGGATTTGTTTGTGTTTGTATGTGTGTTTCTTAAAAATTTGTTCACTTCAACTCGATTTAATTTTATAGACATTTTACAAACAAATTGACAAGTAAAGATACCCGTAATTTATTTACACGAACACTACTGTTTTGTTCTTCTCTTTTATGTCCAGAAATTGTTGTGCCCAACATTGAAAGAAACATTTTCAAATTTGTTATTATATATTTTTCGCCATAGTGTTCGATATCAATACAAATGCAATAGAAACTAACAGGACACTAGTATCAAAAGAAACGAAACCCAGCGATCATAGTAAATTATTTGTACCACAACCAACAGGAACAGAAGATATTCAGCCCTTCGTATGAATTTCTTATATCAGTCAAGGATAGAAGCTTTAGGTCTTGTATTCCTCTCCTAGCTTGATTCAACACTAGACATGAAGATCCAGAATTTTACGTGGATACCTGTCGTGAGAGCTTAACACTACGGTGTTCTTCACAGACGCATCGGTATATTGCGGCGTTTAACGCCGTATTGAAACTCCGTGAAATTCCGCCGGTACCAGTTTAAGTTAAGTGTTTGGGCATAATTCTTGGTGAGAAGCGAGGTCTATCTAACACCTCTGTTGATGCTTGAGTCACAGCACTCGGTTGAAAAATTCAACTCCACATCGTAATATTCTATTCGCGTAAGAAGCCAACCTCAATATCAGACAGTCACAAAAAATGTAACTAAAGGTTTTATCTGCTTCTAAGAAAAGTAATTATCTATCCCCTCAGTAGCTACTTACAGATAACCAGCCAATCGTCTTAAATTTAATCTATTGAAGATGAATACCTTATCGTTTTTGTAAGGATATAAGTTTCCGCTCTATTATCCTGCACCTACCTTGATTCAATACCAGACAGTCACAAAGTATGTGGCTGTGTGGTCTTATCTGGCTCTGTCTCGTCAATAGCTACTTACAGATAACCAGTTTCAAATTTATTCTCCTGAAAATGAATGCCTTAAGGTAGTGTGGATTGTGATTACAATCTACTTTATTATCAAAAGCTCGATTGTGAATCAACTTATATTATAATTAATCTCCGTTTTATTGAATTGAATCGGATTTCTTAATTCTATAAATTATACTTTACAACAATACGTCCAAGCAAAACTTCAAAATAGGGCCCAGATCTAGTAAACAATGAATATGGTTAAACAATTCGGGCTGCCATACAGAGCCTTAGACATGGCCACTGCTAAATTGTAAGAAATGCTTGGTGATGCAACACTTCTTCTTTTCAAACGAAGAAGTTTGAAAAGAAGAAGTTACTTTTAGAAGAAATCAAGTAACACCAAAACACAGTATCCCAATTTTTCGGTGCTTTTTGCTTCTAATTAAACACTATATATCATCTGATTTGCGTCGTTTTCAAATATTTCTCTTTGTAGTCGTTGAAATTAAAACTGGATGATTTTTGTTGTAGCACGACAAGTGAGTCAACTAGTGATTGGGAAGCCTTTTTTGTCTTCATCTTAAAAATAATGAACAACGAGAATGATTATTTACTTACATAGGGCATAGAGTACGAGGGTGATTACTGTTATTGAATTATGAACGTAAACGAGATCTTTAGAACTATTTGAATTTTATTATAAAAATATATATTAAATTGGTTGGATTAATATTAGATATTTCAAAAGTAATATCTGAATATTTGTATACGAGTATGTATTTATATTTATGTAAATTAATAATTTTCTTACATATTATATTGCAGTAGCACCACGGATGATTGTACCGCCCCAAAACAGAAAGCCTCTGAAACTGATGTCATTACAGTGAGATTAAATTCTATATTACGTGAGGGCCCGAGAAATATTTTTCTTTTAAACTCCAATAACAACAATAACAATATAAATAAGGACGGCCTCACCAATAATAATCCACCGCAAACCTTAGATGCAAAAGTATACCTTGAAAATGGTAAAATTAATTTCGGTAAATTAATTACCGACGAAGTTTTGTCAGCGGATTACAATTTGGTTGAGGCCGCCAAGAAAAAAGTAATTATATATAATTTTGACTATTATAGTCAAAATATTTTTTATTTAATTTCAAAATTTGATCTTTTTACAGTCCAATATATCTGGTACCACTGCGCTAATCGCAATCATACATGGAACTAAACTATTTGTTGCGAATGTAGGCGATTCGCGCGGTGTTATGTATGATTCTCGAGGAATTGCAATTCCACTTTCTTTTGACCATAAACCACAGCAGGTAATATTTCTTTGTAAAATAATATGTAATTAATTTATTATATTAAATTAATTAAAAATACTTTTCTTTTCTATTGTAAGGTACGTGAGCGCAAACGTATACATGAAGCAGGCGGTTTCATCGCTTTTAGGGGAGTATGGCGTGTTGCTGGTGTTTTGGCTACATCACGCGCTCTTGGAGACTATCCGCTAAAAGACAAAAATCTAGTCATAGCCAATCCCGATATATTAACATTCGATTTAAACGATCACAAGTGAGTGAAAAACGGAATAACTTTTCACAATATAAACAAAAGAAAAAAATGTGGGGTTTATATAAATTTAATAGCTAAATTTATAAAAAAAAAAAATGAGAAAAAGTTTGAAAGGTTAACGATCAAGTACTACGCGTTAATAATTTTTCACTTTTGACGATTTGGAATTATACACTACAGAATGGAACTGTTTGAAATGAGAGCGATGCTCCTTTAGAGTTCATATAACACCTATGGGTATTGCTGTAGCTATTGCTTTCGCAACAACTAATATTTTCCTATTTTAGTAGTTCCCACTTGTGAACACAATATTAAAAAAAGCAGGCATTTATTATAGAAAATAGGATTTTCAAAATATGTTGATTTTTTTTGCCAAAAGTAACTCGTCTTATGACAAAAAGAAACTATTTAAAAGTTAGAAGGCTTCGAATAGAAATGAAAAGACAACAACAAAAATTTTAGTTATTTTAATGAAGTTTGGCCGATCATACGACACTGTTTCGAGTATTGCCAAGTAATCATCATCAGTGCTCTTAGAAAATATTCAATTTTTTAATTAGTTTATAGTCCATATATAGTTTGCCCGGGTTGCAAGTGCCAGTTTTAGAACTCGTGCCTGTCAAATAAGAAGCGATGATTAATCGTGTTACGTTATGATCTGTTAGCTTCTTTCTTGCGTTGACAACATATCATTGGTTTTAAACATCGTCAAAGCATAGTTCTTGAATTTATCAACGACTTCAATAGAAGTACCGAAATCAATATTACGCTGTTTATCGTTAATGTGCAAGAACAAAAGAAACTTATTTAGCACCAAATCAGTACTGCATAGATGATAAACCGGTTATTTGATGTTTTGAGTCTGAAAGAAGCTATCAGTTTTTCCGGATTTAAAGAACAGCCGGGTCTACATTCCAGAGCCACAAGTTAATTGTAAAGAATTTTAGCGGGTTACCACAACGACATTAGTGTTTTTGTGATTAGTTGTTCCCATTTTTAATGGGAACTTAATGTGTGCATTAGGACACACAAATCAATAGGACGATACCATGAAGGTAGAACTGCACATTGAGATCACATTGAGAATTGACGCATTTATGTGTAACAAATAACTGATAGTATATGGCTATATCCTGACCTTAATTGGTCTATGACAGTTCTTGCTGCACGGAACGTCGTTCTTCTTATGAGATATTAGGCTAAGGCCTGTAAAGAACTATATTGTAATTCTTACTATCGTTTCAATAGTACTATACTGATTCTGTACTGTATGATGTTGGCTACATTACAATAAGTATCAATATAGACATGTTACTAGAAAAGGTTCGTTGAATGCATTTTGCAGGGAGAGCACGACTTAATATGATGCTATTGGGGTGATCGTCTGTGTGGCACACAAGAAACCAAGAGCACTTAGTCTTTAGATGTGTGATTCCAGTATGTAGACCTTCAATTGCTCGCTTCCAGAACTTATATAATGCTTATAGTTTAAAATTTTTTCTAGAATCATTTTTTTGTAATTTTTGAACTTTTTCTAAGGCGATACAATTTTTATTTAAACTAAAAAAGTTTGAAAACATTTAGTATTAATTACTACAATAACATTTTCTAAATTTAATAAAAAACTTTTACACAATAATCTGTATTCGCATAATTTAAATATGGATAAGTTTTATTTAATAAGTAAATCTTACTATTCTCATTGAATCAAAGTCTGGTACAAAATATTATATTACATACTCTATATATATATTTATCTATTAATAAAAATTATTAATTAATAAAAATTATTTGTATTATTTATAATTTAATTAATATATTTCTTTATCATTTTAGACCATCATTTTTAATTCTTGCCTCCGATGGTTTATGGGATACATTTAGTAACGAAGAAGCTTGCACTTTCATTAAAAAACACATCAGTGAACCAGATTATGGAGCTAAATCACTTGCAATGCAGTCCTACTACCGCGGTTCTGTTGATAATATAACCGTGTTAATAATAGTTTTTCGCAAAGGTGTCTATCGAATTTCATCATCAGTTGCCACAACTGCAAAGTCTGCATCCACCGCTAGTGCAACTGTTGTTGGCGAACAAATCAATACAGCACAGCAAGCCAAAGAAGTTGCATCTGCGCCCAATATACACCGTTCCAATAGCGGTGTTGGCACTGGCACTGGCACTGGCACGAAATGAATTCTTATTCTTATTCTTATTTACATAGAATATCTAAGAAATACGACTATGTATCAATCACAACGCAAGTGCCCAAATATTTAAATAATTTAAAATAAGATTTTGCTCTCATTTGATATATATTTTTATATTAAATTTAATCGATATATTTTCATATCCCACCACTTTACATCCTAACATCTAATGTAGGATATATGTTATTATTTGTTTTTATTGAATCTCTCTTTTGAAGCTTCTAAATTATTATGTTATTGTTTGTTATTAGGTTTGTTGTATCCAAATTTAAATTTGTAAAATTTATAACCAAAATTAAATATTTGAAAAATATTACATACATATATTTATTTTATTTAATTGTCTAAAAAAATAATATGTAACATGTATTTATTTTATAAACAAATATGATATAATGAAAAAAATGTCAAATTTAATAAAAATTATTTCAGCATAATAATAATTAAAAAATAATTATTAACTTAAAATTAATAATTAAAATAAATATAAAAATTAATTAAATTTATATATAATATTGTTTTAATCAATAAAAAATTGTTTAAATATTGTTTTAATTGTTCTGATATGGGATATAAGTTTTTAAAATATATATGCGATGTTCATTGTGAAAAAAATTTCTTAACTATTAAAACTTCTTGCGGATTCCGCTATGTATTCATCCTTAGTGATCTAAACAATTATTGGCTTACTTGTTCGTATATAATTATTGAACTACAGTTGTTTACTACAGAAACAACATTATATATTATATGATATATGTTATATGACAACATATAACATCATATGAACAACATATAAATCAATCAACAAATATGTTTTTGTGGGTTTCACTAATGGCCAGATCTACGTTCCGAAGGCACTTGTCAACAACGACGACCAAGGCTGCTTACCACCCCCTAAAGAGACTATAAGAATAATAAGAAATATTTTAAAATGATGGATATTTGACAATATCCGAGTCAAGTTTTGGTTAAGCCATAAATTCACTCAATTAAAAATTATAATTATTAATAATTCAATTAAAATTTAATTAAAAATAAAATAACTAAAATGTTTGTAATGAAAAAAATCATTTAGACATTAAATATTTAATTATTTTATTTTAATAATTGGGATATAGCATTTTTTAAGAAGCATTACTTTCACGTTACGTGTTCATTTCTCAAATAAGTTAAAAAAGAATATATTTCCAATGTAAATTGTAAGGATAATAGATATTTTATTATTTATCCCAAAACGTAAGCGATGTCAATGAAATATAACATGGAGTAAAAAAAAGAGAGACAACACACTAGAAAATAGATATGTTCAGGAAACTCATAGGCTCATGTAGCAGATAGAATACATATATTACTAGAATTACTTAAGTATTAGAAACGCATAAATATCGCCTAAAGGTAATAACCTCCTAGTCACCTAGTCACTATTTGCTAATGATATTGTCCTGGTAACTCACAATTTATATATCAAAAAAATTTTACACAAATTAAATCAGGGCATTAGTCTCTGAAGTGATTCGAATTAATGGTCCGATACTCTTAACCACTTAACCATTCAAAAGCCGGCGTATCTGGTCTTCTTACTACAAGCAATGTGGTTCAAATCCAGAATGGTTCTGTTCGTAGTTCCATTTAATTACACTAAACAAACCGGTATCAGTCTTAAATTACCATATATATGCCAATATATTACATCATAATTGATTAAAATAAACGAATAACAATTAATTAATATTAATTATTAATATTAATTGTATTTATTAAATATTAATCAAAATAATTTTTAATTAGAAAACATTAAAAATAGCCTATATATTCTACAATGTTGTTGCTGTAACTCACAAGGGTCTTTAAAGTAGATACCATGAAAAGAATTAAAAGACGAATACATGAGTTAGGAAGTGAATTTTGTAAGAGGGAAGGATTGCATGAGAAATCACACTGTTTGTGCAGGATGGGAGGGGATTATTTAGAGGTAAGAATAAATTGGGGTATAGGTTATGTTCTAGAACAGACATATTTAATTATAGGTTTATTATGCGAGTATTGGAAATTAAATAAAGTGTATTATAAGTTGAATTGTAATTTATGTATATATCCACAGTAATGCATATATATAGTGAAAAATTTTCTTATAACGATTGAAGACTATTATAATTTAATGAAGAGTTCAATTAACTGTTAAGAATTAAATGTTATTTATATATTGGCAAATGTTCTCGTCGAATGTTGATTGAGACTTCATTGTTGATAATAACGAAAAGCTTCAAGTTCCTGCCGAATGCAAACTTTTAGTATAAGTAGGTAGATAAAAATGTAACCTCTATTCCATAATCTAACTAAATCTATATTAATTGATCTACAAAATATTAATGTCATAACTTCCTTAACAACACTTTTTACGAAACTAAAAACAATGACTACCTCTTTTTCCACTGATTTATTAGTTATAGTCCCCGAATTTATAAAAAATCTCCGAAATCTTCAAAACAACGCTTTAAGTCCCAATACAAAAAGGCTTAACACAATATGTTGATATAGCCCATCTTCTTCCCCTTTTACAAAAAGTGGTTTACACAACAGAAGTTATCATTTATGTACAATTCTCTTAATGCTATTAAGGAACATAAAAGTACATTATTTAATAATAATAATTTAATATATAATTTAATATATTCTTGAATAAACTAATTGAATGTATACTTATGCGAAAGAGCCAATCAGAATTTATTTCATTTATAATTCTCAGTTTGTTTATACTGCAATTCTTATATATACATTAACGGCTCACTACTTGATGTTTTTTTAATATATATCTGTTGTGTATGATTTGAATACATTCAAGACAAAATATATGACTGATTTTGATAAATTTAATTATTATATCGTATAATATTTAAGAAGTAGAGTAATATGGCGATAATAAAATAAAAAAAAATTAAACACTATTTGCATTTATTTAACCCAAAAAAATTATTATATATAATAAACAATAATTATTTAATTAAAAGAAAATTAATTTTATTTAATTTGTCATCGCTAGCTAACTAGGTCATTGAAATTAGTATATAGTATACTAAAATAGGTATTTAATTCATTGGAATAGGAATCTAGTTCATTCGAATAGGTACCTAGTTCATTTGAATAGATACATGGCCCTTTTGCATAGGTGTATAAACTATTTTATCAGTTACACAAATTATCTAAATAGTTATATAGTTAATTTGAATAGATAAGTTAGATATTTGGATAGGTACAAAGTTTTTGTTGTTGTAGCCTACAGAGTTCTGATGATGTAGCCCCTTATCAGTGTGTTTTGAACTACACTTGGTCACCAAACTCGAAGAGTGACTCTAGGACATAGACGTGATAACTTCTCTAACCCTAGTTTATTAGAACTATATATTTTATTTCAACAAATCGGTGTAGATGATTTGGAATCCATAGATATTCAGCGTTTAAATGATGTAACTTAAATTTATGGAATATATTATTACTGTAAAAAAACCTAATTGTAACACAATGCACTTTATAAAACTTTAGCGCATTTCAGAAAGAAACTTATATTAAAAAGAACACAGTGCTTATTGATAAGTCAAGGAAAGCTCACTACATAAGAGAAAGTAAAAGTGCTAAGTCATCTGTATTGTTAATCTTAATCCCTAATTTACAATGCAATTATATCAAACGGTTCCATTTCTGTTTACCAATTTTTTAACGATTTAAAATTTTCCAACAGAGCAAAGCCGAATTAAAGAAATATTATTTTTTGAAATACTTTTTGTTATTATAAATAAGTATATATTATCGTAATTATTGTATACATTAAATAGAACTAACTAAATATAATAAATAAGCGTACAATTAAAGGCATTGCTTATTGAAGAATTCCAATAAAACTAATGATTTTTCAATTATACAAAATGCTTAACCTCCTCTATAAGCAATGCATTTACTAACAAACAAAAAAAAAATTAAATACAAAATATTATTTTCTTATTATTTATTTGCTTATATAATAAACAAATTAGCGCTTCAACACATTTGCTTATTAGTTACATTGTCATTATAAATGTAAGAAATATAAGCAAATAAAAAAAGCTTTAATTATTCTCCGTGATTTTTTTCTTCTTAATTGTCATCTTAATGAGCAGAAACAGAGACTTGCCATACACGGATGGTATTGTCAGAATAGCCAGCAAACAAAGTTTGACCATCAGTCGACCAAGCCAAAGACAAACACTGTGGCTGATCTGCCTTTGAGGTTGGCGAGACGACCTCTGGACGCAATTCCTCGACTGTCTTCTTGCAAGCCAAATCCCAAATCTTAATTGATGGACCATAGGCAACACACAACCAATAACGGTTGGGTGAGAAGCACAAGGCATTAATGATATCATTATGTTCCAAAGTGTATAGATTCTTGCCATCATTCAAATCCCAAAGCAAAGCCTTTGAGTCTTTGCCACCAGAGGTGCAGAGCGAACCATCAGGCGATACAGTGACAGTGTTTAAGTAACCATTGTGACCGTGATGATTGTTCTTCAATTTACAATTGGCTAAATTCCAGACCTTAACTGTACGATCCCAACCGCAGGATACAATAATTGGATTTGAGTGATTAGGTGAGAAACGTACACATGACACCCAATCGGTGTGTCCATCCTCTTGAATGGTGAATTTGCATTCAGCCAAGGTATTCCATAATTTGATGGTCTTGTCACGAGAACCAGAAACGATTTGACGATTATCAGCAGAGAAGGCAACAGATAAAACATCCTGTTGATAGCAAGTACATATAAGAAATAAAAAAAAATATGTATTAATAACATATAGTGCAATTGATGTTGTCTTATAATAGGAACAACCATAAAGCATAACAAAATCAAGCTACAGTAACTTACTCATTTTTGCGGCACTTGAACAGAACAATCCAGTTAGGTTCCATTATTCAACCAGAAATTCTGCCTCGCATAGGCGCAATAAATTTTTTTTTTTTTCTTTTTTAATATATTTTTCAATATTTATACTAAACTAACTTATATGCATTTTTTAGTAAAATATGCCTCAATATTATGTCTCAATATTATATGATGTACTTACTAACAAAATGTATGTCACATTTCTTAGTATCAACTGTTCTACAAACCTACAGCGTTATTATATCTTGAAGTCTATTCAAACACATTTATCACTCTCAAGATTCTTCTTCTTTTTTTATCAAGTTATTCTCACATTGACTTTAAGCAATATTAATTTTCTACATATTTGGCGAAGTAATATTTCCATTTCTTTAAAATACAACAAATACCCTAGAGCCTATAGCCCATAGCCCTACACAAACTACGCTTAACCTTTAGCCATAATATATGAAATCTTTCTCCCCACCTTAGTGTGATCTTCAAAGCGACGGGTTGTCTTGCCAGCAGCTAAATCCCACAAACGGAGTGTTTTATCCCAGGAACCTGATAGCGCATAGTTACCATCAGATGACAGCACTACATCACTAATGAAATGCGAGTGTCCATAAAGGCGTTTTTGTGGGAAACCGTAGTTAGTATCCTCATCACGGGTTAATTTCCACACAATAAGTGTCTTGTCTGTAAGTATTATTTTATTTAATTTTATAATACACTTAGGTATTACAAGGATTGTTGAGATTATTTTATATTATGCTAAATGCACGAGTGCGATATACATAACCTCACCATAATGTAATATTTTTAAATATAAATCTATCCACAATTTAACGTACCACGAGATGCTGAGATGATGGTATCGGGATCCTTCGGATTGGTGGCAATCTGTGTTACCCAACCATTATGACCCAAGAGGGTACCCCTCAATTGCAAAGTCTCAGACATACTTTTATAAATTTATATTAAACTTGCGAAACGCAGAGTACACGTCTACCTTCAACCGTAGATGCCGTGGAAAGAAAGATATTCGAACATGAGTCGCTTGATGGCATTGCCATATTCTTGCTTATACCATTTATGGCAAAAATTATACTAATATAATAAACATTGATTTATAGATGGCGCAGCTAAAGATTTTAAGTATATTTCAAATTATTTTAAATTATTATTTAATTATCATGTTTTCTTTTCAAAAAAAAACTACTTATATTAATGATATTATTTAGTCATTTCCACATTATACATATAAAACATAAGACAAATACTTCAAAATTTTGTGATTTCTCTAGTGAAAAATTTATTTTTAATGGTTACTTTCGACATTATTCACCTTAAATCAATTGATTTAATTATAATGCGCTTATTTACATTTAAGCTCTTTGTATTATAAATTATCTTTATTGGCGAACTTCTAAAGCAAAACTGCCAAAATAAAACAAATGCAAACATGATATAATTTTAATAAATCAAATTTGTTCGATTTTTATTTTTTCACTAATTTTATATTTTAAAATTATTTAATTATTTTGCATATTTTATTTTTTCAAATTTTACAATTTTAATATAACATTTTTAATTTAATTAAATTAATATATTGAAATTGTTTAATTAATGTTTATTTTTCCCTAATTTTACAATTTTAATATAACATATTTAATTGATTTTAATTTTTCCATTGATTTAAATTGGTTAATTAATTTTAATTATTTTTTTCTAATTTTATATACTAAAATAATTTAAATAATTCTAATTTATTTAAATTGTTTTTTAATTTAAATTATTTTACTAATACTAAATATATTAAAATTGTCGCAATAATCTTAATTTTTTCACTTATTTTATGTATTAAAAATGTTTAATTAATTTTAATTTTTCTATTTATATAAATTGTTTAAATGTTATTTTTTGTGTGACCAAACAATTTTAATAAAATTATTTTCAGGCTAATTAGTCAAAACTTTTTTATTATTATTGTCGTCATCAAGATAATTCCTGATGGTGACTTTAGACTAAAGTCGAAATATTAATAAAATAAAAATTATTACAAAATTAAATTGTGATTTCTTTTTTTTAATTTTTATTTTTATTAACAATAAAAAAAGTTTTGAACAATTATTCTGAAAAAAAAATCACTTTAATAAATGTTTTAATTAATTTTAATTATTTAACTTATTACATATACTATAATTGAGTAATTAACTTTAATTTTTCTATTCATTTAAATTGTTTAATTACTTTTATTTATTTTAATAAATTTATATATTAAATATGTTCAATTAATTTTAATTTTTCGATTAATTTTTAATAATTAAAATTGTTTAATTAGTTTTTTTTATTTTAATAACTTTACATACTTTACATATGTTCAATTAAATTTAATTTTTCAATTAATTTTTAATTAATTTTAATTATTTCTCTTATAATAATAAATTAAATAAATTATTTGAGTTCACCTACTATGCCATACAGTTCGAAAGTTTTTTTTTTGTTTGTGTATCTCTACACGTTTTTCGGCAAATTCGCTTTTGCCTTCATCAGGAGAATTCAAAATATACTTTAATTACTTTATTTGTAATAAAATTGATCGTAGACTTGTAAATAGTCTAGAAAAGTGAAATAAAATTGCTTGCTAACAGCGCCAAGAAATGGTTTAAGTGAACAAAAGTGCTAGTTCACAGCACCGAAAACCCGTAGTTATAAGTAATAATGCAAGAATAATGCTTAGCAATTATGTCTATGGAGTTAAAAAAAATTAATTAATTTCCGACAGTCCGAAGAAATAATTTTTTCCTGCGCTCTCATCTACAAATCACTGAAACTGAACAATCTCTGTCAAATTCTTATCTAGAAATAAGAGACAAATACCTTAATGAATGGCAACATAGGAGGGAACATTCCCAAAAATTAAGATGAAGGCACTCACTAATTTTTAATACAAAAGTTTGGATTAATTAAGAAACTGAAGACTTGGAATTTCAATTAACGCAATTTCTTACGAAGCATGAATGCTTCCATGAGTAATTTTACCAGTTCAGGTTAGCAAGTAATCCGTACTGCCAGTTTTGTCCAAATAAAATTAGGATTTCCAACCATATAATTAGAGACTGTATGAGATTTGTAGATACTAGTCAAAATCTAGAGACACGAAACGCGAAAGCCAGCCCTTTTTCTATGGTAAAGCAGATGTTGGCAAGCACTGAAGAGTAGAGCCTTTACAAGTTGCATAATCTCTAGAGGAATAAACATTGTTAAAGCGGACGAAATACTTAGTACACAATCAGAGAGAAAGCACGCTAACTGATGTTTTATTATTATTTTTTTTATGCTTCCTGAACAATAAAATGTTGGTCTACTATAAAACTATTCGCTTGAAAATCTGCTTGATTTTGAATATATAACTCAATCATTATAAAGTGAAAGATTTCAAGAAGCAATATATGATTAATTGCAAGTTACACCTTTGTTTTGTATTTGCTTTATGGCAACAAATTAAATAATGACATGCAGATGGCGCGACAAAAAACAAAACAATAAAAAACAAAAAAAAATTTACATATTAAATAAATAAAATATTTAGTACCAACTTTTTATTAGTAAATTCAGATAATTTATTTGATGAAATTAAAAATTAGTTTTGTTTATTTTGCCAAATTATATTAATAAAACAAAAACAAAAACTTCCACAAGTATTACAAAAATATTATGAATACTGCATATCAAATGCTACTATTTTCATATGAAAAGTATTTCAAATAGTAAATATATAATTTGTTTTAAAAAATTGAATTAAAATTTTAGAGAAAATCACTTCTCTTAATTACATAGATCAATTAACATAGATTTGAACCGATGTATCATATATAAGCGAAATGCATTCTGTCAATTATTTTTTTATTTATAAAAAATATATTTTACTATTTTCCATGCCACTTAAATAATTATAAATAAATAATAATAATATTACAAAAAATTGAATGCTAATTTAATACCAATAATTAGAAAATATATTTAACTACTTTGCATGTCATTTAAATAATTACTTAAACTTAAATATAAATTTTACACAAACATTATATTTAAAATAATATCGAAAAAACTATAAAACTATATATTAAATAATGGAATTTATTTTATTTTCAATTATTAGCAAATATATTTTTATGTACTTTCCATTAATTAATAATTAAAATCTATTAACATGTATTAGTAGGAAAAATTGACGTAAAAGTTAATATAAATTATATTCCACAAATTTAGGATATTGTAGAATAATTTTTTATACAGAGATTTGTATCAATTCTTCAAATGAAACGGATGGCAGTACTAGGCTCAACATGGAAATCATTCACAAAAATAGTTATAAGAAATAATAAGAAGAAAATAGCACTTTAAATAATATACTCTGCCCTTGTATCCTTTACACATAAGAATGCGTATTAAAAGTCTTGAACTTTTACTACAAAACTTAGAAAAACAACATTAGCAAGATTTGTCACCCACACTATACCATATATAGTACATAACCTTGTCGGACAGCCAAGCTGTCATTTGATCAGTGGTAGGCACTTTAGCCACATTTAGTATATCTCTAAACTACCAATCTTTCCTCAATGACGTAGCTAGGCGCGTCAGGGTTCAACTCATATGGGTTCTTGAGCCTAGAGACATGTCCGGCAATTGTAAGGTGGACAAGCTTGCACTCATTTTCGTGACATCACTTTTCAGTTATTGGCGCCCCACTTGCAACAATTAAACAAACAACTGACAATTAAAAAAAAATATTTGCGCAGAGCCAAGCAATACTCGGCAGATTAATCTTGCTGTCAGACCTCCAGGTTGACCTGGTCTAAATTGAACAAAAAATGTATCAATCAGCTATCTTAACTAAGGCGTAACCTGCTCAACACCACGATATCGGTGTATACGGCCACTGCATAATAGGAAGGCATGCTATGAGACTGTGTCTATCTTATAATGATTTTTGTCGCGGCTGTGGCTCTGAAGATGAGGTGGAAACTGTGCTCCATCTAATATATCAGTGCCCATCTCTAACTAGGAGCAGATTTATAATCTTAGGGGTCCCTTTTCTTACTGATCTGAACAAGTTGTTACCTTGTGGCTCAGAGGATGAGGAAGAAACTGTGCTCCATCTAATGTATCAGTGCCCATCTCTAACTAGGAGCAGATTTATAATCTTAGAGGTCCCTTTTCTTACTGATCTGAACAAGTTGTCGCATTGCAAAATTAGGTACTTTACCAAATTCATAGAATTCTCAGGTTAGTTCAGCTTTACCTAATGGAAAAATCGTTGCCTATCGGCTTTGATCGTATACTGATTTTTTAGTCTATGTACGAACCGAAGCTATTTCTGTGGTATCACAACTGGCCATTATTTGAGCTCAAGTTGGCTTTCTTAGACACAAGGCTGCCACTCCAACCTAATCAAACGTACCACGCATGATAATGAAATGTTGTCCCGTTTTTTTTTTTTTTGTACTTAATTGATGAGCCAATAAAATTTATAGGTGGTAGAATAGACCCACCTGTCAGTTTTTGAACACAATTCTTCCATTCCAATCAGTCAGTTTCTTGCATGTTCTATTCGCAACTGCTAATAACACTTCAGTTGTGTGCATATTGTTCAGTTAAAACACCAACTACTGCTCTACAGTTCCTACAATCAAACGAGTTAAGGTCGTTAGCACTTGCCATATTTTCTAAGACTTCAGAACCTTGGTATTTATAAATATTGTTTTAATTCAATATATTAATTTAATTCAATGACAGTCGAATTCGATAGAATCAATTCTCTTTTGTTCAAGTCTGCTTATGTCTGTCCATAACCACGGATGGTGATAACGAAATATGTTAAGAGCATCTAATTATAAATGTTATTTAATATATTTTTAAAGGTTTTAATCTACCAGTGCACTGCTAAATAAATATAGATTGCAATTTATATTCAACATTTTTATGGTAAAATATTTTATTATATGAACTCCGTAAAAACGGGTAGCATCGTTGTGCTGAAATCGTTTGCTATATTAATTTGATTTAAGTGTTAAATATTGTTACTTAAAATATTTTTGTAAAATGACTGAAACAGTTCAAAATTATAACATTTCCCACTAAAACACGTTTTGAATAAATTTTTAATTAGAAATACAGAAGTTTTTTTATGTTTTAAAAGGTGCAAATAAAATAGCACTTTCAAGAAATAAATTTATATTAACATATTTATAATTCTCATTTGCTTAAAATGTAATCATTTATAAATGAAGTCGAGTTGCAATATTAGATTGTATTTACTTAATTTAATATTAATAGTCTATCTAGTTTAAACATCTGACAGGATCTTTGGTACATAAGGCTAATATACTAGATTACAAGAACATTAGAAAATAAGCTTGTGGCATTCGGCCTTATATGTATTGGTGAAATCATTAATGATGACATATGAAACTATGTTCCTATTGGTTTATTTTCAATTTTAATTGCGGACCATATCAAATCACCATATTTTTTTTTTTTTGAAAATATTTCCCTTTAAAATTGCTTTGTAAATAAGTTATTAAAATATAAATTATTGCAAAACTATTCAGAATATACAATATTTATTCCTATGCAAGTACGTTCAATGCTTATTTAAAGTAACTTTTAGAACTATACAGTCTTTCTAGGTTTAAAATAATCGATTCCAACCAAGTGAGCAAAGAAAGATAATAATAAAAATTTTTAAGACAATTATTATCTTAATTAAATTAAGATAATTATTAAGAAAGATAACAATTCACAATGCCATAAAATTACTTTATATAGAAGCATACAAAGCTGTAATTAGTTTCACATCCGACGTCATCCCTTCATCTCTAAATCCATTTGATTTAACCATCAATATGCGATTATCTTGATTTTTCGAAAACCAAAAACAAAAAAGAACATCTTTCATAGTAAATTTTAACGAATACTTGGATTTCAAATACTTGGATTTATACAGCACTACCACTAATATTTTCATTTTTAAATTAAGAATATTTTCATTCTCTACATCTATTCTTACTGCTAAATAAACGACAGCTTTAAATCTAATTCTAAACCTAAAATAATCATGAGAAATTCATTCACTTCAGCTCACTTTCAGTCGTAAGCTCGGTCACCAACCTTCCCAACTTAAAAAAGAAGCAAAATGCTCACTTTAGATCCATAACAGTTCAAAAATCAAATTAATGCCCAACCACTGGATACAATAGCTACTCTTACCAATGAATCTACACTACACTCTCTAACTAATATAGCCGGCGATTCTACAGTAAAGTCACCAGATACTATAGCCAGCGACACCGCAGTAGAGTTGTTAGTGACGATTTTATAGCACACTGAAATCATTTACAATATAAACTCCAATTCAAATATTCTATGAAAATTTATTATTAAATTATACATTAACAATTACAAGCATATATAGAACAGTACTTTCAAAGGATACCAAAATCATATACCCCAACTTTTTCTTCAATTTTCTATCTCAACTACAAGTCTCAACGATGAAAACTTTATAGATCTAATTAGATAAAGACTTGGACATATTAACGTTACATGTCAACTGGCATGATAACTGACTAATTACAACTTATCAGCTACATACAATCTATATTTATAGATAATAATAATTCTATATCTTTCAAATTCAAATGAATAAATTAATAAAACTAAATTTAACATTATCACCACATTTGTATCATTCTCCAAAGAAAACCATGGACGTATTTACTTTTTTCTGCAGCCCTCCAATGATTTGTATTGGCCCACGATCGTATCTGGTTTGAACAGTCCTGGTTTGGAGTACCGGACCACTGTATATTAAATGACTCACAGCCTACGTTTACAAAACTAACTAAAAGTCTCATCTATTTTCATTCGCCTTACTTTTAGACACTTAATTATGTGACAAAAATGGTCATTACATGGCTTAAGCCGGATCTAAGTATAATATATATTTTTAAATAATACAATTGTGCAGTTTATTATATATGTATTTTATTTTAATATTACATTTAAATGATATTTATTTTCTATCTATTTTATATTTATATTATACTTTATTGTATTTATATTATGTTTATATTATATTATTCTATGCTTATATTATATCTATATTATATTAACAAAAAATTTATATAATATTCTTATCAAATTTATATTTATTATATACACTTTTATTATAAATATATGAACATTTTATTAATAGTTATATATATTATTTTGTTATTAATTATTTTTAATATTATTATAATTAATAAAATTTGAAAATTATTATTAATATTTATAATATATTATATTACGAAATTAATGTAAATTTATTATATTTAAATTATATTTATAATAAATTTATATTATACTTATATTGTATTCTATTTATATATTTATGTTACATTATATTAAATAATATTATTTAGAACTATACATATATTCTATTTATTATATAATTATATTCTATATATATTCTATTTATTATATATTTATAATCTATATATATTCTAATTATTATATATTTATATTCTGATTATATTATATTATGTTTATGCCATATCTATATATTATTTATATTATATTTGTAATCTATTTATAATATTTTCATTGCACTTTTATTGTGTTTTTTATATTACATTTAAATTATATTTATATCATCATCATTTTGGCATCACAGCCCATATATTTATTAATTTATTCTATATAATATACATATTATATTTATAGTGTATTTATATTATATTTATATTGTGTTTGTCTTGTATTTATATTTACATTATATTTATGTATATTTATTTATTTATATATTTATATTATATTAATTAATTTCCATATTATTTATATATTAAATTATATATGACTTTATTTTTTGTTTTGAGTTGTATTTTAAATAAAAAAAATGTATATTAATTTAAATATTAATATTAACATTAATATAATTAATTAATTAATAAAATTAATATTTATATTAATATTAATTATTAATATGCAATAAAAAAATGTTTAATTATAGTACCTTGCAATTCTTGTCAGCTTAAGTAAATGTTGTTTTAATTAAAATACTCGTATATAATTGCAAATGCCCCACGTAACGAAAGGTTTAGAAATGTCAAAGCCATGAACTGAGTCCATCGTATCACGATTCGATCTACTTCCTTCTGGGTTTTTACATAAATTTTAAGAAAGACGATGTTCTGAAGACGATATATATTAAGCTTTAAAAAAAAAAGACATTCGATGTTATTTTTGGAATGTTCGTAAAAAAATTTATTTGTTTATTGACTAACATAGTTTATATAAATGTAAAAATAGTATAAGTACAATAATTATTTATTGATTTAATTAATAATGAACGCAATGTTGTTTTAAATGCAAATGGAAACTTGCCAAATGCGCACAATGCCATCGGAATATCCGGCGTATAAAGTTTGACCATCGGGTGACCAAGTCAAACACAAACATTCCGGTTGAACATGATGTAGCTTGACCGGTGCAATATCTGGACGCAACTCTTCAACAGTTCTCTTGCGATCCAAATCCCAAACTTTTATCGTTGTACCATGTGCAACGCACAACCAGTAACGATTTGGTGAGAAGCACACATCATTTACCATTTCGGCATGCTCTAAAGTATACAAGTTTTTGCCATCCTTTAAGTTCCACAATAGAGCACGACTGTCCTTGCCGCCAGAAGTGCAGAGCGAACCATCAGGCGAAACCGTAACGGTATTAACAAAACCATTATGACCTTTAAGATTGTTCTTCAAAGTGCAATTGGTTAAATTCCAAACTTTAACCGTACGATCCCAACCAGCTGAAACTATCAAAGGATGGGCCAGATTTGGCGAGAAGCGTACACATGAAATCCAATCATTGTGACCATCTTCATCGATGGTGTATTTACATTCAGCTAGAGTATTCCACAACTTAATAGTCTTGTCGCGCCCACCAGAAACGATTTGACGATTATCAGCCGAAAAAGCACAAGACAAAACATCCTGTTTCCAATACGAAAGAAATGTATTAGCAAATGTTTCATATAAAGATATATAATAATTAGAAATAATAAAATGAAAAAAAAAAGTGCGGCTACAAAATATAATGTCAATATGTGTAAATTTCGGAACATAAAGCAACATAAGCATAAAATAATACACCAAAACCGCAACCATTTCAAGAACAAAAACCATGGATTTACTTAGCTGGCAATAACTTACACTTTGATGAGACTGCACCGCGTCTTCCAGTTCACTTTTCACCAGATATTCTACATCGCAAATACGCAGTTCTTAACCTAAAGATACTAGAAAATATCTGCTATTCCCTAACAATTCTTTAGAAATAACTGAACTTTATTTCAATAGAAAATTTATGACGTCACTCTGCTTTCGGATAAATGCGTGAAATGCTAGTCCAGTCCAAATGATGGTGTGTCCTTCCATGTGGCTAATTGACATGTACGTACGCGTATGTTCCTAACACAAACAAAGCTTACAACATTTTACTTATAGAGACTCCTGAAGCAGTGGCAGATTCAGACAGCCATAAAAAAACATCAACTGATATTAAAAAAATAAACAATTTTAGCTTACGTGGCAAAAAATTGCATTCAACCTTGAAAGCAAATCAGTTTCTTTTGCAAGTACAGACGCATGTTTGTGCATGTATAGAATAAAAGAAATAAGATTGTAAAAAAAAAAAACTTTTCCCACCTTAGTGTGTCCCTCGAAACGGCGAGTAGATCTACCAGTGGCCAAATCCCACAGACGTAAATTTTTATCCCACGATGCAGAGAGCGCATAATTACCGTCAGATGAAAGCACGACGTCGCTGACAAAATGGGCATGGCCATAAAGACGCCGGAGTTGGATGCCATAATTGTTCTCGCTCTCACGAATCAATCGCCAAACAACAAGCGTCTTATCTGCAAATATTTTATTTATTAATTTTAAACCAATATCTAATGTCCAATATAAAAAATATAGTGGCCATCTTGAAGTTTAGGCTACCACGATTTATATAGACATTATATTTTAACTTACCACGCGATGATGTTACAATCAAATCAGGATCCTGTGTGCTTGTAGCGATGTGGGTGACCCAGTTGGTATGGCCAGCCAAGGATCCACGCATTACCAAAATTTCATACATTTTACTATTCGAAAAGTTCGACTTACGCGCTTCGTAGATGTACACCTGAATTCACAAACGACTGCAAGTGAAAAGAGACAAACACAATCACTTCATTAAGTTAGTTGCATTGAGTTAATTGAAAATGTCAGGTGTATGACAAATAAAACTAACTTTGACATACTGGCGGCGCTTCGAATACAAATACGTCCTTTTAAATGAAAAAAGGGTATTCACGAAATTTCAAACTTCAGCAATTTTTATTTGCTAAAGTTCCAATAAAAAGTCTGATATATGCTTTGTCTAAAACAGCGATTAAATAACAAACAAACCAATTCTATGGATGCAATTGCTATACAAATAATATATGGTAACATTATACAATAATACCTACAAAATTATAATACGAAAATGCAAATACACATGAGATTTGGTTGTACAACTTATCCGTAAAATGCGAAATTTACTCCAAATTTGATGTATAATGATAGCAATATTTGAAGTGTTGACAAGAAATTGGATGGAAATCAAAATAGGTCTGTTCCACAAACTACTCGTAGTACCTTTGAGTAACACTGTTTATGCACCGTGTTTTGTACGGCCGTGCTCTAAGCTATTGATTTGGTCAAGAAATTAATTTTCCAGATTTCGCACCCGCGGTTTCAGATAAAATACTAGCTCTATACAAAATCTATGCCTAGGGTATGCTGGAAAAAAATATACTATTTTAGGATCATCGCAACAGAAGTCTGCAGTGAACTTATTGCTTAAATGCATATTACTCATGAGATTTGGTTGTACAACTTATCCGTAAAATGCGAAATTTGCTCCAAATTTGATATGTAATAGCAATGTTACATATGAAATTAAAAACTAACTAGGATAACGAATTTTTCGGAAAATATATTTCATCTTCACTACACATTTTGTTCTCAAAACAAACAAAACAGAACTGTGAATACACAAACAATGTGACTGCAACGTGCGATGTGTTCACATGCGATAACATATGTACGAACACGCAAGACAAAATTCGCATACAATGTAAACGCAGCCTTATGTATGACGAAACTGTGAACGGCCATGTTATATTATTATAAAGTTCTCTTATACCACACCATTTGTTGTAGTTAACAGCGGATCAATGTATGTTTACAAATAAAAAAACTGTTTTATTAAAATAACATTGAATAAATATATATTACGATTAAAAACAAACTATATAATATTTGAATTTGAATATTAGAGCGGCCCGCTGCGCTCGAGTAAAAGCCTATTCCATTATTAAAATGCTGTTTGAGCTCGAATAATATTTCGAATACTAATTGATCGATTTCTTATTGAAATTGATATTAAACTGTTTTCAGTAAACTAAAAGTGAGTTTAAGGAACGGGGATTTACGCCAGCTTATAATCGATTTTAAAGTTAAAATTAAGTTTGCTTTTTTTTATATAACATATGACATAAATTCATTTTAAATTTTGTATAAGAAACTATAAATCATGCAACAAATAATACCTCTACAAAGAAATTAGTTTTGAAATTTAACAATTAAAAATAAAATATTAAAAAATAAAATATGATTATTTAATTCAATTATTTTACAGGTAATTTATGATTCTGTTCTAATATAAACACAGCAATTGAGTTTGTTAATTAAATTATCACAGCAAATCAACAAAACTCCAGAAAAATGTGCGAACATAAAAGTCAAGTACGGCTTTGGGTCAGTTGGTTAAGAAACGCTGACTCTGAGCTTTAAATTTAACAGGGCACGAGTTCGATTCCTGGTACATGCAGTCTCAAAAAATTATTTACGAATAATAAAATACAAGAATTATTTCCAAGACCACTAATGATGAGTATTTGGCATTACTTGAAACAGCTGTATGGTCAGCCGAAAATTCAATTAATTAAAATAATGTAAAAATATATTTTGGTTGTAGTAGTTCACTACTGTTCGAAAAACTCTTTATAACATTTCAGAATAATAATAATCAGTTGATGTTTTACTAAAACCGAAAAATTCACATATATGCGTGGAGTTTTTTAATTTTTTTGAGTTTAACCTTACCTAGCACGTTTGTATTTCAAAATTGACATTTTTTATAAAAACAAATACTATTTTCAAACTTCATTTGTATGTTTTTATTTGAAACTTTGTATAAAAAATGACTTTATGTTGACAATATGTTTACACTCTTGCAATTTACTGACAAGTATATACCGATCAGCGTCATTTTACAAACAACATATATAAAAAATGGGGTACAGAAATTAAACAAGTGCAATATAAGCACTTGTAAGCATATTTTACGTTCACACTTGAAAATAATTCTTGATATTAAAATTTATTTTGCTGCTGCCAATATGAGCTTATCCAAGATTGATGATCTGACCAAAAGTGTGTCCAAAACAATTTTCATAATAAAAAAAAATCCAATATTTTACCCTAATATATTTTGTTAATATATTATAAATAATATGATATTGTTATTAATAATAAATATTATTTCAAATTTTTAAACAAAATATTTTATAATTTTTATTTAAATACCAACTCTGTGATATAAAAATTGATTGCATTTCAATGCTGCTTACAATATATTTTATAGCATGCTATTAATTTTAGAATTCTTGTTGTATGATATATTTTTAACTAAATTTTTGCAAAAAATTTTTTAAAAATATTTAACATATGTATGAATGTATATTTAAATTAGAAATACATACATAAAAAACATTTACTTTACTTTAATTTTGTTTATAAGTAATATATAATTTAATTTTAAATTAATTTCATTTATTTGATAAGAGAGAAAAAATAATCAGAAATTAATACACACATATACATATGTATTCATATTTATTTACATATGATTTATAATTTGAATATAATATTATTCTAGATATGTAATGTAATATACAAGATCTGCAGGAAATGCAATAATCAGAATGCATTCCTTCATATATGTACATATGTGTTTGTCTGTCCATATCTAAGGCCGGCCATACGAGTACTTCATAGAGTCAGTTAATGAGCTAGTCAAAATTCAAGGATATATTAAAGGATATATATTTAAGCCATTTAAAATTGATAAACATCACATCATCATATGTGGGTACCGATAGAAAACACTCAAGGTCTTTGTTTGGCTCTAGAAAAAGTTGATTTTAGACTATAGAGTACTTATTTGTTACAGCGCCTGTTCAAACATTTTTTTATAGCATTTATTATAGCATATGCTATATTTTATAGCATATATTTCTTTATACCTTTCGACAGAAATTCCAACAATATGTTTGCAAGATATGTTAAGATCTAATAATCTAACTCACTAAATCTCTGAAACTATTGTCCTATTTTCAAAAACGGTCAAACGAGGAAAAAATCTTTTTCTTCTTCTAGTAGTGACGAAGAGGTGTCGATGTCGAGATGGACGAAAACATTTTATTTTTAAAAGTTTTCTGCCATTTCTGCCATTGATCTCTCCACCGGAGACATGGTCTACCTCTAAGTACTCTTCTTCCAACTACTGCTTCAAACACCGTTTTTGCTGGAGAGATATAATTAATGTAATATAATATAATATAATATAATATAATATAATATAATATAATATAATATAATATAATATAATATTATAATATAATATATAATATTATAATAATATATAATATAATATATAATATTATAATAATATACAATATAATATACAATATAATATATATATAATATAATATATAATATTATAATAATATATAATATAATATATAATATTATAATAATATATAATATAATATATAATATAAAATAAGTATATAATATAATATGTAATAATATAATAATATATAATGTAATATATAATACTATAATATATATAATATAATATATAATATTATAATATATATATAATATAATATATACATAATATAATAATATATAATATAATATATAATAATATAATAATATATAATATAATATATAATAATATAATAATATATAATATAATATATAAAATATAATAATATTAATATAATATATAATATTATAATAAAAGATAACATTATAGTAATATAATATAATAAAACATATACTATAATAATATAATATAATATAATATAATATAATATAATATAATATAATATAATATAATATAATATAATATAATATAATTAATTTTTAATAGGAAATAGGCATTAATTTTAATAGGAAATATTATGTCTGAGGATTAATCAAACACTTTAAAATTTGTTTGAGCTAATAACTGGCTAAAGAAAATTTGTTTTTACTTCAAATAAAATTAAACAATCGATTTAATTTGAACTGAAAATTAAGAGTTTACTCTCAAAATAAAATATTATGGCATAATGAAAAGAAATAATTGGATGTGACATGAATACCTAATTTCATTCTGTTCCATTTGAATACTTAATAATAGTAATTGCAAACAAATCAAAACTTTTAATAATTCCTGACAAACTTAATTTATGTTCATTAACGTTTTTAACCCATTAAGTACCAGGCAAGTTCAAACTTGGAATTTTATGGTGAAATTTTCAAAAAGGTCTTATTTTACGTTAAAAATAATCCCTACAAAATTAAATTTTTTTTTTGAAAAGTAGTTTTCCAGAAAAGTGCCGTGTGGTCAACCACACGCTGGGACCCATAGCACATTTTTCTCTCTTCGATAGTACAAACATTTTTATATGTGTTTTGTTCACAAATATGATATTTAGTTACTTTTATGCTGCAGTAGGTATCGTTTTAAATTGTATAAAATTCAATGTTTTATGCTTTTCAAATATTTATTAATCAAAAAATATATTTGAATTATTACATATGTATTGTATTAAGTAAAAAGAAATAAGTTTACTTGCCTCATTGTCTACGATTTTCTTTTTCGAATCATCGTAGCGGTAGCTTCTGCAATGAACATTGAGATGCAAGAGAAGGTTTCTGGCAATGAAGTTCTTGAAATCTAACTGAGGCATCGGTTTTGTGATGGTAGAAGCAGCGACAAAGCAATGTAGTTCCCAATCTTTTACTACAGCGCTATCTAAACACTGTACCCATAATGGCCACCATACCTTTTTGCTTCTATTCCCGATACGATAGTTAACAGCTCCATTGTCATGTAAATAGACGCCACCGATGTGTCGGTTGTAACTGTTGATAACTTGAGGCTGAAGGACATCAACCTTTTTTTCTCTCTGCTATAGCGTTGCAAATTTACTATGTGTTCCACGGAATCATAGAGTATGTTGGAATGGATGCTCACAATAGCTCAATAATTCCTTTACAACAAATGCACCGGAGTATGGCAGAAACTGTAAGATATACCCACTATTCAAAGAAAGGGTTCATAGCTTATAACCGAAACATATTGGTTTCACAAATTCCAATGTGAATAGTTGCGACTCAGGCATTTTTACAACAGCACCATAATCTTGTGCATTTGATTAGTGTACAACTTCAGTAGTACCAAAATACTCTCTCACAATTAGACAAACGGAATTCAAAAGAGGAGAACAAACGGAATTCAACCAGCAATTAAATATCAAAATAGACTTATTACTATTATGCATAGTAAAAAACACAAGTTAAAGTAGATCAGAAGGGTATGATATTTATTAGAGAGATTACTCTCATTTTATTTCATTACCTAATGACAAACATTTATATGGCATTGTTTCATCATTATATTGTTATGGGACCCTTTTTTCCCCGGCATCTGGTGGCAAGTAACTGTTACTAAGGCGATGGCAAAAATCACGAAAATTATATTTGGACTTTTGTGAACATATGTTATAACAAATATATTAGTTTTTATTTCTGTTTATTTTAATTTTCATTTAATTAAAAAAAGCATTTTTTTGGACAGTTTTTATTTCGGACCAGGTAAACTCATGAACAGATGAAAACTGTTTGAAATATGTATTTTTATATTATTAAGATATCAAACTAAGTAATAAAAATAAAAAACATTGAATTAATTACTTTTATATATTTTTAAATAATTTTCAAAGTTAGCCGTGTGGTGTACCACACGTAAGTACGAAATGGGTTAAATTTGTTTTAAACTCATATATAATTTGCTTTTATTTTTGTTAAATATTTTAAAAAATAAGGTAACCTTTTGTTCATGAATTCTGTCAATTTTGATTATTAATTTTTGAAAACAACGGCAACTCTGCATAGTCTGTCTCTTTTGTCGAACTTGAAATTTGTTTGGTTCTCTTTGTACACATTTGTCCTCGCATGAAAACGGTTCATAAGAAATCGGAAAGTGACTAATTTGAATAACGATGTTTGAAATTGAAAACAATTAATTTTATAATATTTAGTACGTTTATGAAAGTTATATATATATATAAACAATTAAAAAAGCAATCAATTGCATAAAATTTATGCGAAACAGTGGAGATATTTGCTCTTAAATTTATTTAATCAATATTTACATGTTGTAAATCAATATTTACGTGAAATACGCCGGAGTGTAATATTTTTTTACAAATATAAATATTAATTTTTGCTAAAAATTTTTGGAAGTATTGAAAGTTTAAGGAATTTTGTAAATTAAAATCTTATAAAAAGTCGCGGTTAACAAACTGAACTCGAATTTCGAAGAGCGCATTTGCCTGTGTTGAGCACAAATCGTTCAGTAGTTTTTCACTCGTACGCGAAGTCGGTTAGGTTGCTATTCGGAATTTGCATCCAGTTCTACTGCAAATTTCTAACGGAAATAACGTTTTTTTTTTTTAAAAAAATAAATATTAATTCTTTTTGTACCCGTGTTAAAAAAAGCCGTCAAAATTGAATCGACAAAGCTTGACGAGACTTTTTCTTCCACTTCTGTTATGGAGGATAAAGCAACAACAAAAGATCTTGACCAATGGATTGAGCAACTAAACGAATGTAATCAATTAACAGAAACACAAGTGCGCACCTTGTGTGATAAGGTAAGCAGTGCAAATAATAAAAGTGTTCGAAATTAATAATATACATTAATAAAATCGAAGTTATAGTGAAAAAGTTGGTTAACATGAAGTGATTTTTTTTTTCTACCGTCTGCTGTTTTTCTCACATGCGAACCAACTCAATGTGACAATGTGAACAAATAATTGAATTGCTCCTATGTATGTTATATTCGTTTCACTTACACATATGTGTTACTGTAGTGAAAAATATGTTGTAAATAAATTTGTTCTGCTCTAGCATATAAAATTTGGCAAAATAGTTAAACATTTTTTTGTGCTTACAGTTGGGACGGCCATCTTTAAAATTATTTATTCTCTGGAAAATTAATTTTTTCGGAGATCTTGTGTACAGTGTTAAAGAGTGATAAATAGTAGGAATATAGGATTGCAAAGTGCTTTGAATGATGTGTGTAAAAAGAGTAAAGAGTTATGCATGGAAAATAAAAGAGAAGTGTTCGAAGTTATGAGTCGTGTCAAATTTGTTTGTATTGGCTTTTTAATATGAAATTGAGATAAATTGTGAGAAATGTAAAGTACAAAGAATGATACCGCATAAAAAAATATGTTATAAAAAGAATGAAAGAAAGAAATTAGTCAGATGCTTTAATAATGTAATTTCAATAATCCCAATATGATTTGTGTATGGTTTTTTTTTTCTTCAACATATTCCTTAAAAATGTTTAGTTTTTTTCTAAGTTAATTGCAACAAAATAACAAATGTTTGTATTAATTTAATTGTAAAAAAAATGCGTGTGCTTGTTTACAAACTGATCGAATATTTATTAATAGCAGCATTGAGCCCCTGTCCTAAAATTTTACATTCAATCACTTTCAATTTAATGTGACTCGCTTCATAAATACACGCCAGGGAAAATGTGTGGTTATGTCGCATTTCTCTGATTTCCTTCGAACATAAATTTTTATATTACAATTATTAAAAATTTTGTTGTAATATTTTTGCTGTAATATTTGTTTATAAACAATTGTTATAGTTTGTTTTTATATACCACTTATATCATAATTAGTACAAGGATAGGTCAAAATTTTTTTACTTTGTCTTTATTATGAATGTTGATATACATTTTTTTCTGCTCTTTTGTAGTGCAAATACAATGACGTATTTTATATATTATGAAAAGTAGTTTTAAAATATAAATTAAAAAATATTACTGAAATGTAAATAATATCAATGAATGCTAAATATATTTTATATAATTTTTACTATGCAGTGAAAATTTTCTCTACATGCTACAAATCCTGTACTTATAGTCGTATTTTAGTTTGCAGACGAAAATAAAAATAAACTAAAGATTATTTTGAATACTATGTATGACGTTCATAGTAGTTGGGAAAATTTATTTCAAGTAACAAATAATATTTAATCACATTATTTTGAAATTTCGAGTTTATTTTGAAATTTCGAGAATGTAACAGAACTCTTAAGATTTTTAAGAAAAAACTATACCAACAATTATATTAACTTCTTCACTTTGAATATAGGTATTTCCTTATCTTTTTTTACAATAATAATAAATTTAGAAAAACATTTATTTAAATTAAAATCTTAGTTAATAACGTAATTCACATAGCAAAATAACCCAAATGACTTTGCTTTATCCGTCTGTCCTTTTGCACAATATGTACGCTGAACACAGCTTCCCCGACTTTGACTACCCAACAATTTTATCTTATGTGTTTTCGTTAAGATATAAAGCCGTAGTACCAGGTATAGTTTGTATCTGTTTATGCATTTAAAAATCAACAAAACTCAAAGTTACTTGTCTTTTCCATTTTATTTTTTGTGTGGTCGTTTCTGTACTTCCTTAAAAAGTTTTTCACACAAATAATTTTAATGCAATGATATTCCACATCGAAAAGAACCTATTTTGTGTGATTTGTACCTGGTACTGCAATAACAAATATCCTAAATAATCTATTGTTTACATTTCAAAGGTAAAAATAATGAGAAATATATTTATGGTGGTGTTTAGAGAGAAATTTCTGATATACATTTTTATACCTGTTTGCATATATGTATTTTTTTTTATTTTTTATGGCGAAGATCTATGAAAGTAGCTGCCGGCTAAGAATTTTCACTATTATACGAAATATTTATATTGTAGATTTCTAGTTAAATTTTTAATTTCTGACTTTTGGTTTTAAGTTTTTTTTTTTAAATAAGTAACAAATATTTACAAATTATAAAATTTATAATTTATAAATAATTTCTTGAAAATTTGAAGTTCCAGAAAAGCTTAGGATTCCACAATATCTCTTAATCTAATTCTTTTGTCAGCACCATCATTATGTTGTTGTAGCCCGCAAGGATCTATAAAGTAGACCACGTGCAAGAAATTACAAAGACGTATGTATCGATATGGATAGATAATTGTAGAGTGAGTTGAGTGGAAATGATTTAGGAATGAGTAAGAAAGGATTGGGGGTGGGTGGAACTTGTCATTTTATCGATGGTCCCGCTTTTTCGACATGAAATTAAAAAGTTTTTAATAAACAGATCCGCGTCATATCACAACCGGCCATTATTTGAGCTAAAGTGAGCTTTGGCCATAACGCCGCCACTTTTATCTACTCTAATTTACAGATATAACGAACAAATTTTAAAATCAAGAGTACATATTTTTTTTTTCTAAATTAATATATATATTATAACTTAAGGACTTAATGGTTTTGTCGTTATTCTTTATACTACAGTAAAAAATATATACATATAACAATGATTTATATCCTTTCTCACTTCACTCATATATGTATATATATATAATAATAATAATAAAACATTGAAAATTCGTTAGCCAATTCTCGTTTTGAATGTACAATTTTTTTAAGATTACATTTGTTTTCAAATTTTTTAGAACAACTTAATCTAGTTAACGATAGATTAATTAATTAATTTCAGGATGTAGCCATATGCTAATCAGTTACTTTTCACTATATACTTCAATTTTCAATGTGGGGTTCAACTGCAGCTCTACTACTTATTTATAATAATAACTGCATTTTATTTCCAGTTACGCTTGAATACTAAATTTCTAACGGTAACAGAATGGGATAATAGACTTAGCGATTAATCCTTATACATCAGGCCACATTATTTTTTATATTTTACATAAAAGAATTTTTGTTCCCTAACTGTATAAATAGACATGCTCGTAGAATTTCCTAACTCTGACTTAGTCGTATAGTTTAACGGTGTGTAGAAGATGTGTAATGGTATTCAGTTTAGGTCTTCTAGATTTACAGCAATCGATCTTATCAAAATATTTCATTCGTGTTTTGAACAAAACTGGGCTGGTAACACTCTTATGTGCTTATGTTTCCTTTGTACCATATGTGTTGCGTTCTCCGCAATTGTCATCTTCTCCTTTTTTCGGTATACATATTAATATACACTTTATGCTCGAAGAATTTAATATCTCTGACTAGTTTGTAGAGAGTTTTTTCTCTTCCCTTAAGAATTTAATTTAATTGTGACGGTCATTCTGTTTGACTGTGTTCTCTAGATTTTGAGCATTCGATTTTATATATCAAAATATTTTATTCGTGTCTTGGACAGGACGCGTATATAGCACATGTTTCAAAGATTTTTTGTTCCAAGTCTTTTGCGTTCTCCGTAATTGTCATCTTTGACTAAGTGAGTTTCAGTGTTACAATGTTCTTAAGTTTTGTGTTGTTTACAAGTTTTTATAAAATGCGAGTTAATAAAAATAACCTTTCGTTTCTCTTCACCTTTCAAATACTAACTAAATTATATTTCTGTCTTATTATAAGCTATTCACACATCCTTCATTTCAGTTCCATATTTTTTTCGTAGTAAAAATTTTTATTTATTTTTATCGTTCTGCAACTGTTATGTGATCCTAAATATTTGCAACAACCTTGCAGAATACCATCATGAATAACAAACATTATCAAAGAAATCAGTTTTTGTGGTCAGTAAGCAATTTGTAAAGGATAAAATTTCAGTCCAAAATGCAGGAAAGACGTCAACAAATTCTAGGCAATAGCAACAGCAATAGCAACAACACAGCATGAGCAACACAGAAGAAAAATGAAATTTTTTAACTTTGAATTACTGCTGCCCAGTTGAGTTGGTTGGCCTGGACCCAAGGCTAAACGTGTTTGGTATTCCGATGATGATTTTGCTGTTGCTCATACTATGCTTATAATGTTACTGCTGGTGTTGCATTTTCCAGATATCTTGTAACTTTTTTTATCCTCGAATATGTAAGAACTTAGTTTATTATTTTATTTTCGTTTTTGAATTTCAAACTGGTCACCAGAAAGCTACCGCCGCAACCGCATAGCAGCAGCAGTAGCAGCAGTTCAATAGTGCAATCTATCTGGCAAACAACCTTCGTACTGCTGGACATGGGTTAAAAAAACCTGTTTTTCGAGTTCGCTCATTCTTTCTCATAAACATTTTATTCATATATTAACATTCTCAAATCTTTATTACCGGTTTTACTTTTTCATTCTTACTCTTTTTCTTTTCCTTTTAAGTTATCAATTATATATATATATATATATATATATATATATACATATATGGATAATATAATATATACTTATTTAAATATTTGTTATTTTATTTATACTTCAAACAACTTGTTTGAAGTAATCATTTATAATATGTACGATTATGGGTTGAACAGCAAATTAATATATTAATATAATATAAAATTTATGAAGAAAATGTGTAAAAAAAATTGTTAATAATATATAATAAGCAAAGAAGAAAAATGCTTTCTCCCTTCAAGCATTTAATTACGACGTTAACAATCTTTAAAGATTTTAGTATTTTCATTATTATTCTTATTCTTCTATAATTAACAAACAAAATTTCTAAATTAATTTAATTTAATTATTTTGCAGAAAATTAACAAAAAAAAAATTATTCTGTCAAATTGATTAAATTTTTTTTTATGCAGTCTTATATATGACTATTTAGATACGAATCTTCT